TGAGAGCAGATTACTTATATTTCGTTCATCAATGATACGGAACAAACTAATATATGTTTATGTATAAACAAATGTCATAAAGAAGTGTAGCCCAGCGAACTATGATTCGTAGAACAGAAAGAGCTAGCGTATAGCTGAGTGTTGATTCACTGTGGTAAAGTGGTGACAAGATTGATATTAGATGGCCTTAGCTGCAAACACTTAAAATGCTTTCTTCCTTTCATTTTCTCTTCTCCACGATATTTGATAATTTTTTTTAGAAATATACCAAGTGTAGGTTTAGTGGTGATTGGTTCCATGTGAATCTCAACCTCCAAGGTTTAGTGGTGATTGGTTCCATGTGAATCTCAACCTCCAAGGTTCACACTAACTCAAACAAGGGTTGGTTACATCATATTTGTCGACAACTAGTGATATTAATGCAACTTGATAGTGCAACAATATATACATTTTTGAGAAGAAGCATCGAAATTGGCATAAAGATAAATGATCATACCTGTATACTAATAAATTTTGGATTATATTGGTGCTATTTCCAAGTTGGCCGCCTTATCAAATAAGGCCGCTGATTTTCTTGAAAGACAAAAATCACAATCTATTATGAGCAGCAGGCGAGTGACTGATAAGACAGATTTGTTACTTGATATTAGATATGTCTAGACATAGATGTTATCAGATATCATCCTTTTGATATTGTCATTTAGTTATATCATCTGTATTGTATTGTTCAAACTGTCACCATTAAGGAAATCACCCGTATAATGATTGTCTTGTCATATTAATTTTATCAATAAAAATGTTTGATATGAAAACATTGTGTTAGGTGTTGTACGAAAGTTATATCTATGGTTTACGGTCAGATCCCCAGCCGGGTCGCACTACGACAAAATGAGACAATCATGGTCAACATCACAACAGACCAAAACAATTCTTGTGATGTTAATGCGTGTATACATGTAGTATCAATAAACATATGCTAGATCTTTAATTGACCTTTGCTTTTACACGTCTGACGCTCTACGAAATGTGCTAAAGAGACGTTCTCCCTAGCAGAGTCGGGAGAGTCGATAGGAAGCGGCTAGTATTTTGCCAGGGTCACAATATCCTCTTACAAAAGTATAACTTTCAAATATCGACGCATCCTCAAATAGGTAAGGCATTAACACATACCTTGATACCTCATAATTAATTTCACCCTCTCACACTGGTCAAGTATATAGACAGATACATATATTAATGACACCCTCTCACACTGGTCAAGTATTTAGATAGATACATTTATAAATGACACTCTATCACACTGGTCAAGTATTTAGACAGATACATTCATTATTGACTCCCTCTCACAATGGTCTAGTATTTAGACAGATACATTTATAAATGACACTCTATCACACTGGTCAAGTATTTAGACAGATACATTC